CCCCGGCCCTGGCCCCGGCCCCGGCCCCGGCCCCGGCCCCCGCCCCGGCCCCCGCTGCAGAAAAGTACAAACACCGAGGGGAGGGAGAGCGCAAAGACATTGTTTCGTCCTCCATGCCGAGGCCAAACAGAGAGGAGCCTGTGGACAGCCGGACGCCCGTGACCGAGAGAGTTAGCTGACTTTACTCAGCGCGGATTGCAAAGCAAACCAACAAGAATAAAGGCAGCTGTTGTCTCTTCTCCTTATGGGTAGGGCTCTGACAAAGCTTCCCGATTAACTGAAATAAAAAATATTTTTTTTTCTTTCAGTAAACTTAGAGTTTCGTGGCTTCAGGGTGGGAGTAGTTGGAGCATTGGGGATGTTTTTCTTACCGACAAGCACAGTCAGGTTGAAGACCTAACCAGGGCCAGAAGTAGCTTTGCACTTTTCTAAACTAGGCTCCTTCAACAAGGCTTGCTGCAGATACTACTGACCAGACAAGCTGTTGACCAGGCACCTCCCTTCCCACCCCACCTTTCCCCACCCAGTCGCAGTCGTTAGGGATGTTAGGGACGGACAGCAGTCGAGAGGACACTCTCATTTGGTGCCATCAGTGCCCCGCCCACGGTGCCCCAGCTCCCCCACCTCCCACCCCCAACCACAGTGGGATAAGGAGGCGAAGCAGAGAGACCGTCAAATTCTTTAAAGAAGACAAGGGAGATGGCCAGTGGCTGCGGCCCGCACCATCCCAGACGTGGCGGCACAAGCCTGGCCCCACACCAGCCCCAATCCAAAACTGACGAGGACATTTCACAGAACAGGAAAGTGGCACCTGTCTGCTCCAGCGCCAGCTCGGCTCAGGGGGAGCCCTGAACTTCGAGTGTAGACTGGCCTGAGCCACAGGAGAGGATAGCCCAGGGTGAGGTGAGGTCGCCTGTTCTTGGGAGGTGGCGCCAGGACAGGCACAGGCCACTGGCCACACCCCACATCGCACCGCACCTGGCTGACCCAGCACTGCGGGTGGGACAGGAGAGAGATTCCTAGTCGCTTAGAGTAGCCTGACTGGTAGTTAGGGATGTCCGGACGGGCTAGGGGGCACAGGCAGGAGAGTCTCGAAACTGTTCTTCCAATTACTTTCCAGTTCTCCTGTAGGGACAGCATAGAATTATTTGCACTATTGAGTCTTCATGTTCCCACTTCAAAACAAACATGCTCCGAAAGCAACCTGGCTTGAATTGGGGACACTGTCCCTTGAGCCACCAGATGTGATGGTGTTCCAAACTACCTGGATCTGTATATACCTGCGCTTGTTTTAAAGTGGGCTCAGCACATAGGGTTCCCACGAAGCTCCGAAACTCTAAGTGTTTGCTGCAATTTCATAAGGACTTCCTGATTAGTTTCTCCTCTGCCCTTCCATCTCTGCCTTCCATTCATTTTACCCTTTCATTTCTCCCATCCTCCTGCCTCCAAGCTCATTCTCTCTCCGGGCAGCCCCGGTACCCACCCACACACCAAGCCGCTCTGCTCTGGTCAGCCCCAGCCCCTACAGCCCTTGCAGCCTTTGCCCTCGCTGCCAGCCCCACTCAGCCCCATTGCCTGCACCCTGGGCACATGAAGTCCACTGTGGCCTCTATGAGGAGCGGGAGGGCAGCACCCTCTTCCCTGCTAAGAAAAAGGCAAGGGCCTTAGCATCTGCCCTGTAGGCCTTTCCTTCCCTGTGCTCAAGGGAAGCAGGCCAGGGATGCTGGCCACATCCAGTGTCCAGGGGCCGGCCTGCCACAGTCACTGAGGAGCCCAGCAGGGCTAGCAGACTGTGGCAGGGCAGCGGGTAACAAGCCCTGAACTGGGACTGGTACTGGCACCTGGGCTCTGGCCCCCTCTGCTCGCCCTTTCCCCACTGAATCCTTTCCTGTGGAGTCGCTTGCTTTGTTCGCTGGAGACAGGGCGGGGCCAGGACATGGCGGCCTCTAGTCTCCCCTGTGAGTGTGGGGTGGGGTTAGAGGCTTGCTCCATTTCTGTTGGGGATCCCAAAGTTCTCACCTGTGATCAGGAAGTCCTTATCTAGCTGCATATCTTCATCATATTGGTATATCCTTTTCTGTGTTTACAGAGATGTCTCTTATATCTAAATCTGTCCAACTGAGAAGTACCTTATCAAAGTAGCAAATGAGACAGCAGTCTTACCTTCCAGAAACACCCACAGGCACGTCCTGCGTGAGCTGCTGCCATGAACTGTCAAGTGCGTGTTGTCTCGTGTATTTCAGTTCTTGTCCCCCGGCTTCCTTACTGCGGTGTAATCATGAAGGATGAAACATCATAGAAACTGTCTAGCACTTCCTTGCCAGTCTTAGTGATCAGAACCCTAGTTGACAGTTCCAATCAATAGCTTCAGATAACCCATGTCTGTCTCCGTGACGGTTGGGAGCGAGGGAGTCCGCCTGTTCTGTTCTGTAGTTGTAGTCGGACTTTAACCTCTCCGTGTCCCTCTCCCTGTGCCGACAGCCGACTCCCATCCGCCAGCCTGGCCCCTTCACCCGCTCTGCGCTCATCCTCCGCCTCCCCAGGAAGGGGAAGGGAGCGGGGTCGTAGGAAGGGACGAGGACTTTGAAACTCCTCTTCCTCCAAGGACAAAAGGCCCCTGGCCCCACAGTGGCCTCGCACTCCCGGCACCCCCAAAGGACACCTACCCACACAGGCGTGGCAGCCGGCCAGGTTGGCGACAAGAAGATGTCTGTTGTGGTCAGCAGGGTTGGCGTGCACCTTTCTGCCCAGTCTGGTGGAATGTGGTCCCAGGAAGAGGGGTGTGGGCCCCACATCCCAGGCCTGGGCCTCTGGGCGTTTCGGTGTCGTTTTCCTTCAGTTGGTCCCCACCTGTAGCCCCCTGCTCCCAGTTTCTCTCCCTTAGAGTTGGTTTTAAGACCACAGGCAGTGCCTGCAGCTCCATAGGGTTTCCTCTGTGCCCCTCTGCCCCGTCGCTTCCTACCCCCACATAAAGGAGGGCATCGTGAGTTGGTCGCATTTCGGCAGGCAGCTTTGGCGGTCTGTGGCCCTCGCAGGCAGGGCCCTGCTGCTCCCAGGCCCCCGCCGTGGGGTCAGGGTGACAGGAGGTCTGAGGGAAAGCCTTAAGCCACGGGATTCTCACCAGCTGTGTCCAGCCCAGTTTTGGGGTGTGACCTCAATTCTGTCTGTACTTGAGCACTATGAAGACTGGGGGCACTTTTCAGTGACTGTCAGCTTTCAGATACCCTGGGGCGACGTCATTAAGGACACACCCACAGTTTCCCACCCTGTTAGTCATTAGTTACTACCTCCTCTCCCCAAGGAACCCGTCTGTCCTCCCAGGTATGTCCGCGGGGGCCTGGCCCAGCCCTGCGCGTTGGTGACTCTGACACAGCCAGTGAGAAGCCGACTTTGATGTTGTAGTGATCTGGGTTACTGGGCCACAGCCCAGTACAGCTCCTTATGTGGCACAGCGGACACCTGGAAATGCCACCTGCCCCAGTCGATCAGTGCCAAACTAGCCAAGGAGCTCAGCCTCTCAGCTTGGGACGGTGAAAGCCACCACCCCGATGTGAGTCCGGATGAGTCTGCCAGGGACCACCAACATTGGAAGTGGGACCCGGAGCAGCCTCCGTTTGTCATTACTGTGATGGTGATCATGAAAGAGTGTAACGACCAGAAACAAACTGCCAGGCTTAGTGGGAAAAGTTTCCATAGCTGGCAGGACCTCGGAATTTTAAGTAACTTTTACTAAGTGGCTCCAGCCCAGGAGAGAGCCACAGAGTATGGACTGAATCCACCGGGTAGGACTGTGTTGATGTCTCTTAGCTTGCCGGAGTCCAGCAGCCAGAGCTCCGGGTACCCCCTTCTCTGAGCACTCGGTGGCTCTTGGGGGAGACCTCTGTGATTGGTTCGTAGCCTGGGTCCGTGCCCCACTGCATTTCCCGGCTCCAGTTCACGCCCACAGATTCCAGGACCAATGGCCTAGGCCTCAGCGAGTCCATGCTTTCCAGGGCTCCAGCTTCGGCCACGGGGCCAGGGGAAGTGGCCACAGGGCCGGCTGGACGAGCCTTCTGCCCTCTGTCCTCTTCCTCTCCTCTGTCCTGCTCTCTGCACCCGCGAACAGCTCTGTTCTGAAAGGATTTGTTGATTCTCTCCATTTTGATGTCTTTCTCTTTTAGATATTGTATCAATCTTTAGAAAAGGCTTAGGCCTAATTGTTATAAATCGCTAGGATACTGCCTCCTCCAGGGTCTAAAATTACTTATTAAAGGGGGAAAATTGAACATTGAAATCAGTTCTTAACAATGTACAAGGAAAACCTAGAAAACATTTGGCAGAAAATTACATTTTGATGTTTCTGAATAAGAGCAAGCTTTTGCAAAAATGCCAATCCCAAAATACTTAGTACTCAGCCTGAGATATCTAGTGAATGTGACAGGCACAGGGAACTCGAGTCAGGGGCCTCGTCATTGTCACTGCTGGGGTTGCCATTGCTGGGGACACCGCTTCTGACACTGTCTCAAGGGGGAGGGGGTGGGCGTTGGCATTGTGAGGCTGACTCACTAGTGGTCTCTGAGGCCTAGACCACCCACCCTACCGCCCACCCCGGGCACCTCTCACCTTGGCAGATTTGGCCCCATCCTTGCTGGGGCCAGGAAAACAGAGTGGTGTCCAGGGAGCTAGGTGGGGCCCCAGGGACAGTGGGGAGGGAGGACAGGCCCCAGCCTGATCTATTGATCTCTTTGTGGGAACAGACTCGCATCTGAATTCAGGAGCATGTGGGCAGCTGCCAGGTCTCTGCCCCCTTCTGCCTGTCTTGCCTTTGTCGGGTCCTGCTCGGCAGTGAGAAGAGATGTGCCGAAGAGGCCACAGGCTCCGCTCCTGCCACGTCACCCCTCTCCCAGCGGTGTTTGTGTCAAGTGGCAAAGCTGTCCTTCCTCGTGACCCTGACCCTATCCAGTAACTTAGAGATTATGCATAGGCCTGCTTGGTCTCCTCTGCCCTGGGCTTTTGTTTTGCTTTTGAGTTTTGCTTTTAGTTCTCCTGTCCCTTTTATTTTATGCACCAACTAGACACACAAAGCAGTTGAATTTTTATATATATATATATATGTGTGTGTGTGTGTGTGTGTGTATATTGCACAATTATAAACTCATTTTGCTTGTGGTTCCACACAAAAAAAACCTGTTAAAATTATACCTGTTGCTTAATTACAATATTTCTGATAACCATAGCATAGGACAAGGGAAAATTAAAAAAAAAAAAAAAAGAAAAAAAATGACAAATCTGTCTGCTGGTCGCTTCTTGGGTCCAAGCAGATCTGTGGTCTTTCCCCCTCCTGAGGGCTTCTCTGTGCTGAGCAGAGGCGGGACGGAGAGTGGAGGCGGGGAAGGCTCCCCACCCAGTGACAAGCCTGGGGGCTTGAGGGGGAGAGGAGAGGTCACACCAGGTAGAATGCCAGGGACCCCAGACCCATGCCAGACAGTCCAGAGGTCCTCTCCGGGAAGTAGCAAAGACTCCATCCATGTCCCTTTCTATTCTCCCCCTCCCATGAGTAATTGCATTTGCTTTTGTAGCCCTTAATGAGCAATATCTGCTAGAGAGGTTAGCTGTAACAGTTCTTTTTGATCACTTATTAAGTCATTAAAAAACACCAAAAAAACAGAATCCAGAAACGTTCTTCCAAAGCAGAGAGCATTATAATCACCAGGGCCAAAATCTTCCCCTCTGCATCATGCTTCTTCTGAGGCCAGCATCCAACAGTGGGTCACAGGCCCCCGAGGACAAGGGCTGGGGCAGCCCCTGGTGGCTCCCAGGGGTCCCAGGGCTGGGCCGCTCCCCAAGCTCAGTATTATCAGGCTGCACAGTTCTCTCCCAGCCCGCCTGGGAGGGGTGCAGGAAGCAGAGGCCGGTGCCGCTGATGCTGACGTCCGGCCACAATGGTGGGTGTCCGCATGTGTCCGCGTGTGTGCTTTGCTTCCCGACAAGGTAGCGTCCTGTCCCGCTGACCTGTAGCCCCGGCCGGATGGAGCAGGGCCACCCAGCTCAGTGCTTCTGGGAGCTGGACAGTGGAGTGCGAAGGCTGCAGATGCGGAGCCTGCTCCTTCCCTACTACCACGGCCTCCTTTCCATTTGATTTTTCAATGCTTCAATCAATGACAGCTGCTCCAGAGTCAGTAGCCGAATATATGACCAAATATCACCAGGACTGTTATCAATCGTGCCGAGCCCTCCCTTGAGGGCTCCGTGTACCTGGACACTGTAACTGTGCCGTGTTTGCTCCTCCTCCCCTGCCTTCCCGCCCCCCCTTGTCTCTCTGGGGTTTCTCTGTTTGGGTTTGGTTTGGTTTTTATTTCTCCTTTTGTGTTCCAAACAGGAGGTTTTCTCTACTGGTCCTCTTAACTGTGGTGTGGAGGCTTCTATTTGTGTAATTTTTGGTGGGTGAAAGGAACTTTGCTAAGTAAATCTCTTCTGTGTTTGAACTGAAGTCTGTATTGTAACCATGTTTAAAGTAATTGTTCCAGAGACAAATGCTTCAGATGCCTTTTCTTTCCAAGCAGAGCATTCCGGAGGGAGGGGGACGGTGACTGAGACCTGAAGGGCGATCAAAGCGATAACCCCTACCAGATGGGCCTGAGACCCCCTGGGAGTCCTGCTCCACCAACAGACTGGGTAGGCTGACGGGTTGCCATTTGCAGAGACCAAGCACAAGCAGCTTTTGTTCCACGCAGTGGATTCTCTCCACAGCGATGCCCACCCCCAGTTTATTAGCATTGTTATCTGTAAGTAAAGACAAGATTCATCCTCCTTCCTGGAGAGCTGAGGGAAGGAGGGGCCTGGTGCGCAGGTCACAGGTCACGGTCACAGGCTCACAGGCGGAGCGGGCTTAGCCACGCCCTGCCTGGCAGCTCCTCCTGGATATGGCTGGGTTGGGCGCAGGGCATCCTTGGCCCCCAGGCACTTCTGTCACTCCCCATCCTGTCACTGACATGACTTCACTACTCCCCACTGTGCTGGGGTGAGCCAGTGCCAGTGGTTCAGTCCTCAGAGAGATTCGGACCTGAGCTAACAAAGCCCTTCCCTCCCCTCGGCGAGCGAGTGGAGCCTTCTTGGTTGATGCAGTTACCCTCCTTAGACGTTGTTCTGGGCTCACCTTCAGGCAAGGACAGTGGGGCTGGAATGACCTTTGCACATGGAGCTTAGCGCCCGGAAGCAGGCAGGCTGTCCCCCTCTGAGTCCAAGTCCCAGTCCCCTGTGCCATCCTGGAGGCCAAGATCCACAGGATGGACAGGGCTGCCACCTGACGCCAGAGGGGTTCACGGGGCACGGGGATGGGCCTGGGGCAGACTTAGCTGGAGGGGTCTTGAAAAGCCCTCTGTCGCATTCACCTTCAGTTTTTGTGTTTTGGGACAATTACTTTAGAAAATAAGTAGGTTGTTTTAAAAACAAAGATATTGATTGCTTTTTTGTAGTGTTCAAAAAGGTTCTTTGTGTATAGCCAAATGACTGAAAGCACTGATATATTTAAAAACAAAAGGCAATTTATTAAGGAAATTTGTACCATTTCAGTAAACCTGTCTGAATGTATCTGTATACGTTTCAAAAACACCCCCCACTGAACCCCTGTAACCTATTTATTATATAAAGAGTTTGCCTTATAAATTTACATAAAAATGTCCGTTTGTGTCTTTTGTTGTAAAATCAAGTGGTTTTTTCATAAGGTTCTTTTACTATTTGAAAAGATGGGCAGCACGCAGTTTTATTTTATTTTTGTAAGTTTTTAATACCTGTGAAGCAAAGAGTACTCAGCATGCCTTTCGAAGTGACGCGTTTGCACCTTTTGTTGGGAAGTACTGTATCCTGTGCTGTTCGCATTCGATAAACCTCTCTGTGAAAGTGACTCGAGGTCTGGGCTTTCATTGTGAGTCAGGGGAGCCAGGCCAGCACCAACACAGGGCCTCTGCAGGCCACCTCCCGCTCCCGAGCTCCCGACTCACCAGAGGGCCCCGCGGCTGTCCACGGGCTGGCGCCAGGCAACAGGACAGGACACGGCACGGGCACGAGACATGCAGCTGTGACACACGTAGTAGGGAAAGAGCTGACAACTCCAAGGTCCCCAGAGCACAAAGAGGGCTGACCCTGGAGTCGGCACATGGCCGTGAGAGCTATTCCCTGAGAAGCCACCAGGGCTCATGGCATGGCCAGCCTCCTCCCTGACAGTGGTCACTGTGGCCACAGCCGTAGGGAGCCTGTCCCAGGTATTGGGCAGACCTTGTTCCAGAAAAAGCTGCATGTCCCCGAGGGAGAGGACAGGCTTGTGGAGGGAGGGGAAGCCCTTTGCATCAAGGATCCACAGGGCCAGAGGGACTGTCAGGAGGGGACCTGTGGCCGCACAAGACAGGGAAGGAAGAAGGCAGCAGCTGGAGAGGAAGCTTCCCCCTGCCACAGCTTCAGTAGTCCACAGCAGGGGACAGGGACTGGGACAGCTGGTTAGGCACATCCCAGAACATCCTAGGACAATGATGGTGAACCTTTCAGAGCTTTCAATGATAACAGACGGCCCGGCCTTGGCACGGCGTGAAGCCATAGGTTCACCACCACTGTCCTACGGGTTCGGATGGTTTAAGGCTTGCCGGTACATCAGAGGACTAGGCTTGAGGTGGCCAGGCAGACCTGCAGGCCACACTAAAAGGCCTCGGTGAACCTTGGGACCACATTGCACAGGAGAAAGCACAGTGGTGCGTGCCTGTGGTCCCAACTGCTTGGGAGGCTGAGGCAGGCGGATCCAAGTTTGAGGCCAGCCTGCCTGGTCAATGAAGTAGCACCCTGTCTCAAAATGAAAAAAGAGGGTTGGGGGCGTAGCTCAGTGGTACAGTGCTTGCCTAGCAGGTGTGATGGCCTGGGTTCAATCCCCAGCACCAAGGCCGGGGATTTAGCTCAGTGGTTCTGGTGCCTGCCTTGCAAGTGCAAGGTCCGGAGTTCGATCCGCCGTACCAAAAAAAAACAACAATCCTCAGCATCAGGGGAAAAAAGGTAATGGTTAATGGCAAAGGTGGCGGGTCCATGGGAAAGGAGGAGAACCCAGAGTTCAATGAGGCCACAAAAAAGCAGCGACTGCCAAGATATGGCTCAGAGGCACGACCCAAGAAGCCAAAGCTATCCATGGGAAGAGCACACTAGGAGATGGCCAAGAGACCTATGCGGCAAAGAGGTCACACAGGCTGTGAACTGAGCCTGGTGACCATGACTGCCTGCAAAAGAGAGGAGGAGAAGCTGTGCGACTTCCCGGTCCCCGCAGAGGGAAGTGCAGACTGAGCCTGCACAGGGACAGAAGGGGAGGAGGGGCGTGTATGGGGGTGGTGCAGGGATTGTGGGGAGGAGACAGAATGGGTTGGTGGTCCGAAAAGAGGACGCCCCAAAAAGGCAAAGGTGGCAGGTGTCGCTGGGCGGCTCCCGCAGGCGTGGGCAAGACGAGGCCCCAGGCCCACAAACTTCCAGGCCTTTCACCAGTCAACCTCACACCAGCTGGCCAGGCTGCCAGGGGCCTTTCTGTGACCCGCATGTCGCCAGCCCTACCCACAATTCGGCTGACTCCCCCACGGCTTCAGATAAAACGGGAACTTCCCAGCGGGGCGCCCAGCCCCTTTCTCGGGCTGCTTTTCTGCAACGCCTCGAGCCTTTGCTCCGCTTTGTCCCCAGGGCCGGGGTCATCCACACTTCCGAGCCCCGGACCCGCGGGCCCTCCCGCAGGCCCCTACTCGCTGCCCGCGCTCCCTCGTCCCTGCCCCGGGGCGCCGCGGGGCGACCCCGTGTGACCGAGGCGGCAGCGCTGGCGGCGGCGGCGGCGGCGGCGGCGGCGGCGGAGGAGGAGGACAAGATGGCCGCGGGCCCGGGCACCTCCTCTTCCGCCCCGCCAGGCGTCCCACGCGGCCGGCGCGAAGGGGAAGTGAGTCAGTGTCCGCGGAGCCGGCCGGCCCAGGCCCGCGCCCGCCGCGGCCCCGAGAGGCCCCGAGAGGCCCCGAGAGGCCCGGCCGGGCGGCGTTAGCCATGGCCGGGGGGCCGGGGCCGCGCCCGGGCGAGCCCGCGGTGCCTGGCGCGCAGCACTTCTTGTACGAAGTGCCGCCCTGGGTCATGTGCCGCTTCTACAAAGTCATGGACGCCCTGGAGCCCGCCGACTGGTGCCAGTTCGGTGGGTGGCGGGGGCGAGGGCGGCGGGGGGCGCAGGCTCCCGGCGCCGGGTCTGACACCCCCCGCCCCGCAGCGGCCCTCATCGTGCGCGACCAGACCGAGCTGCGGTTGTGCGAGCGCTCCGGGCAGCGCACGGCCAGCGTCCTGTGGCCCTGGATGAACCGCAATGCGCGCGTGGCCGACCTCGTGCGCATCCTCACACACCTGCAGCTGCTGCGCGCTCGGGACATCATCGCGGCCTGTGAGCGCGTGTGGGCCTGCGACCCCAGCTCCCAGCCCCCAGCCCCCAGCCCCCAGCCCCGGGCTGGGCCCCACGGGCGGGCCGGGCACCAAGCGCCCCGCGGGCTCAACCTCCTTCCCTTCCTCGGCGCCCAGGGCACCCCCCCACCCCCCTGCCACCCCCGAGCGCCACCGCCCCGGAGCCCAGCGACAGCGGCTCTGCCCCCTCGGAGGCCAAGGCCCCGGGTCCCCGGAAGTGGCAGTCCTCAGCCTCCACCGTGCCCTCCCCAGGTAAGGCGCCGGGTGTGGGGCGCGATGGCCCGGGAGGAGGGCCGCGGTGGCCGTGGCCCTGTCTGCCTCTCACGGGCGTTTCTGTGAAGCTTTGCCAGGCTCCCAGCCCCACTCTGGGCCTGACCTGTGCCCTGTCCCGAGCCCTGCCGCCCACCAGCCACCACTGCCATCGCCAACCCCTCCCTCCACCAAGGTAGGTGCCTCCCTCCCCACGGGGCAGGTGCCAGCTGGGAGGCAGCCGGGGTGGGCAGCTCGCACCGGCGACCTCCCCCAACCAGGTCGCTGGCAGCAGCCCAGCGTGGGGTCCCTGCTGCAGGGGCCCGGGCCCGGCCCCTTCTGCTGGCCCCTCCGCGAGATCGCCCAAGGCACCCACGACTTCTCGGAGGAGCTGCGCATCGGCGAGGGCGGCTTCGGCTGCGTGTACCGCGCGGTCATGAGGAACACCACATACGCCGTGAAGAGGCTCAAGGAGGTGGGCACAGCCTCTTGGGACAGGGAGTCCGGAGGTGGCCGCCGTGGCTCACAATGGCTGTCTTCCTGCCCCTTGCTCGCTGCCCCGGGGCTGCAGGAGGCCAACCTGGAGTGGACCGTGGTGAAGCAGAGCTTCCTGACCGAGGTGGAACAGCTGTCAAGGTGAGCCTGGGTCCTCCTGCTTGGGACAGGGGGTAGATGGGACCACACACTGCGACATCCAGAAGCAGCAAGGGCCGGGACACAGCCGCAGCTGGGGGGGGGTGGGGCTCCGCTTTGTCACACAGGTTTAGGCACCCGAACATCGTAGACTTGGCTGGCTACTGTGCCGAGAGCGGCTTCTACTGTCTCGTCTATGGCTTCCTGCCCAACGGCTCCCTGGAGGACCGCCTCCACTTTCAGGTGAGCTTGTTGGGCCCTGGGCGGGGTCTGGGCATGGGGCCTGGCATCCCACACCCCTGGGGCACCTTGCACAGAGCTTTGGCCTAAGGCGGATCAGTGTTCTTGGAGAAACACTTTCCTCCGGCCTCTCCCGGGGAGCACCTCTGAAAAAGGACTATCATTTTGCCTCCCCCACCATGCACCCTGGGCTGGCTTTGAACTTCACCCTCCTCACTTCTGGATTACAGGCATGTGCCACCATGCCTGGCAAAATGGCTTTGGGATAGCTCCGTCTCCACACTCTAGTAAATTTGGTAATAGCCATTTTGCTCATTTTCCGGAGGGGAAACTGAGATATAAGGGGTGAAATGGCTGGCTTCATTGAGGCCGCACAGTGAGATAAGCAGAGGGTTAAGCTCAGGGGACAGCTGCCCCAGCCTCCCTTGCACCCCATCTTTGTTTCCTTTGCCCCTAGGGCTTCCTGCCTCTCTCGTGGCCACAGAGACTGGACATCCTGCTGGGCACAGCCCGGGCCATTCAGTTTCTACATCAGCACAACCCCAGCCTCATCCATGGTGACATCAAGAGGTGAGAGCTGGAGCTGCAGGTGGCCCTGCTGCTGCAGGCACAGCCTGGAACTTCAGTGCCGGGTGTGGGGAGCTCAGGTGTGGAAATGGGGTCTCCTGCAAGCCTACTGAGGAGCCCTTTCCATGGGCAACACCTCCCTCTCTGCTTCCCTAGTTCCAATGTCCTTCTGGATGACAGGCTGATGCCCAAGCTGGGGGACTTCGGCCTGGCACGGTTCAGCCGCTTCTCAGGGGCCACACCAGGCCAGAGCAGTGCCGTGGCACGGACACACACAGTTCGAGGCACCCTGGCCTACCTGCCAGAGGAGTACATCAAGACAGGCAGGCTGGCTGTGGACACAGACACCTTCAGCTTCGGGGTGGTGAGTATGAAGCCCATGCTGGTGTCAAGGGAAGGCCGCGGTAGGCTGAGGCAGAAGGGTTAGAGAGGTCTGCTGCAGCCTGAGGTTGACCAGGCTGCAGCACTGGGTGCTGCTTCGTCTGCTTGGCGCCCTCATTCCCCTGTACCACACTTCGTGTCTGTCATGCTGCGCCCCTTTACTTCCCGCGGCCCCTCCGAATCACTTGGGTCCCATGGCAATGCCTCCGACAGCCCAGTGCGAGTCTCTGAGGCCGGGGCTGCTCTCCATCCTGCCCTCTCCAGGTTGTGCTCGAGACCCTGGCCGGCCAGCGAGCCGTGAGGACACACGGGGCCAGGACCAAGTATCTGGTGAGCCCAGGGTGGAGGGCAGAGCCAGCCGGTCGCTGACTCATCTCTGAAAGCAGGCTGGGCCCACACCGCTCCCTCTCCTCTCGGGAAACCTGTCTCCCAGGGTGGGGACGGGAGGAGACAGAGAAACCAGGGCTAGACAGGGGCTCTTTCTGTCGCTTTCCCACCAGCAGCAAGCTGGGAGCTGGCCTCAAACCCTCCCTTCTATCTCTTCTGCCTGCGGCCCTGTGGCCTCCAGGTTCCAGCCCCAGTGCCTTGCTGATAGCGACGGGCTTGGGGGCGTGGAGTTCCCACACCCGGAAGTATGCCTTGCTCTTCGTGCAGGGCCCAGGCTGTGCTCCCGAGAGACGGCTGCGGCTGCAGGAGCAAGGGGCCCCAGGAGGCCATGCTCACGGTGTCTGCCCCACAGAAGGACCTGGTGGAGGAGGAGGCTGAGGAGACCGGGGTGACCCTGAAGAGCGCCCAGACCGAGCTCCAGGCTGCAGACGCCTGGGCCGCGCCCATCGCTGCCCAGATCTGCAAGAAGCACCTGGACCCCAGGGCTGGGCTGTGCCTGCCCCAGCTGGGCCTGGCCCTCGGGCAGCTGGCCTGCTGCTGCCTGCACCGCCGGGCCAAGCGGAGACCCCCCATGACCCAGGTAGCCCTGGGGAGTGCAGCCAGACTCAGTGCCTTGCCTGCCGACCCCACTTCGTGCTCTCTGCTGAGCTCAGGGAATGGAGCTCCTGGCTCTGGTGGCCCTGACCTCTCAGCGCTTCTTGGGGCAGTGTCGTTGCCACCCAGCCTGACAGGCCTGTCTCCCCACGCAGGTGTACGAGCGGCTGGAGAGGCTGCAAGCAGCTTTGGCTGTGCCTCTCTGGGAGCCAGAGGCCACTGGCCGGGGTCCCCCGTCCCCCCAGGAGAACTCCTATGTGTCCAGCAGCAGCTCCCAGAGTGAGGGTGCCCCGCCACAGCCCCTGCCAGCACCCTTGGGTGTGCCTGCCCACGCTGCCGCGCAGCCCCGCCAGAGCCCCAACCAGCCTGTGGAGAGCGATGACAGTCTGTCAGGCCTCTCTGGCATCCTGCACTCCTGGCACCTGAGCCCCAGCTGCCCCCTGGGGCCCGTGCCCCTCCGAGAGGCTGGCACCGCCCGAGAGTCCAGCTGGGGGAGCAGCCCGGGCCTGGGGCCCACGGCTACAGAAGGTACCAGGCGGCATCCAGCAGAGGGGGAGGGGGTCCCTTCACAGTGGCCCTGCGTCCTGCCCCAGCCTCCCGCAACGGGGAGACGGGCCGAGGACGGGGACAGAGACACTGGCCGGGGGCTGTCTGGTCCCCTCCCAGCTTGTCCCCAGCACCCCTCCTGAAAGCCAGGATAAAGTCTGACATGTCACCAAGAGTGACCAGGGGCAGCTGAGTGTTCTCCCCCTCCAGGGTCCCCCCTGGGCAGCCCTGCCTCCACGTCCCAGCCCCTGCACATCATCATCAACCCAGCCCGGCAGAGGATGGTGCACAAGCTGGCTCTGTACGAGGGTGGCATCCTGGACAGCCTGCAGCTGCTGTCATCCAGCTCTCTGCCAGGTGCCAGGCCGTGGCGGGCAGGTGGCCCCCACGTCCCCAGCTCTCCATGGCTCCATGCATCCCACAGGCAGACCCTGGCATCTGGGGACCCCCCAGCTTGTTAAGAGGCCTTTCCCCTTCCCTCTGCAGACTTGAGCCTGGAACCTGGAAACAGACAGGGGCCTGAAGAGAGTGACGAATTCCAGAGCTGATGTGTTGCTGGGGCGCGTCCCCAGCCCCGGAAGTCAAAGTTCTCATGGTCGGAAGTTCTCATGGGGCATGGGCCTTCTGCTGCCCCAGGACTGTGGGCACGGGCAGCATGGTGGCCACACAGTGTGCGATGTCTCGGGCTGCCCCACGCAGTGCTGCGGTGGGTCCAGCAGGGAAATCCGAACCCGCATCCCTGCACTTGGCGCCACAGTCAGGAAGGCAAGCAACAGGCAGAGCCCTGCTGTGGGTGCTTGGTGTCACCACCTGCCGGCCAGGCCACCCTGGGCCACCGCACATAGCCCCGGCCCAGCCAGGGGCTGTCACCCACTTGGGCAGGAAGTTGCAGAAGCAAGGCCCATCTGGCGCGAGCAAGTGTCTCTCATGTCCTCACCAGCGGCCCCGGCGGGTTGCGTTCCAAGCAGCAGTCACACTACAAGGCCAGAAGCTGGGCGTCAGTGACAGCCAGGTTGTCCTTCAGTAATAAAGACTTCATCTTCCCACTCTGGCTGTGCCTGGAGTTTGTCACTTGGACATTACACTTTGCCTCGCCTGTCTTGCGGCTTCACGTCTTGCTTTTCTTTCCCTTTGCATTGAGGCACATCTCCTGCCCTTTCTCCCCTTTTCTTTTCTTTCTTAAAATTTCAAAACAAGGTCTCTCTAGGTTGCCCAGGCTGACCTCAAACCTGTGTCAATCCTCCTGCCTCAGCCTTCCCAGTGCTGGGATCACAGGTGTACACCACCACCCTGCCTGATGCCTCATGGTATTTATGCAATTTAGACGTTTGCTAGATTCCCAAGTTAAGCCATTTGTACCTGGAGTCTTCGTTGTGAGAAAGCCTTTTCACTTTCGTTTGGTTGGTTTGGGGTTTGTAGTTATTTTCTTACCTTTTTTCCCAAAGTGCTGGGTATGCACTCGGCCTCATGCATGCTAGGAAAAGTGCTGTGTGATTAAGCTGTGCCCACAGCCCTTTGGGAGGCTTTGAATTACAAATTCAGTTTCCTTAATTACATGTTGGACCTTCCACATTTTCCGTTTGTCAATTTTGAGAATTTGTATGTTCCTGTCTGTATGTGTGTGTGTGGTACCAGGGTTTGAATCCAAGGCCTTTGCATTGAGCTACATCCCCAGCCCCTTTTTCTATTTTTGATTTTGAGACTGGGTTTTTTTAAATTCATAAATTCCCCAGGCTGGGCTCAAACATGGAATCCTCCTGCCTCGGCCTCTCAAAGTGCTGAGATTACAGGTATGTGCCACCATGCCCAGCTTCTGTTGTCTTTAAGGAATTTGTCCATTGCTTTTAAATTGGCACAAAGTTAATAGCCCCTTATTTAAAAAAACAGTACTAATGATGCCCTCCTCATCCTTTTAGCACTGGTAGGGCCTGTAGCAACTCTTCTTCCACCCATCTGGATATTGGTAATGTGTGTCTTGTTTCCTTCTGTGCCCAAGCAACCCTCCTGTCTCAGCCCCCCAGGACCTGGGACTATAGGTGCACACCACCACTCCCAGCTGCCTTTTCTCTTTAACCTCGGTAAAGGCTTAGCCATTTTATTGATAATTTTGAAGAACCAATTTTGGGGGTTTCCTTGATTTTCTTATTTGTCCATTTTCTGTTTTGTTCATTTCCACTTGAGCATTTCCTTTCTTTTGCTTCTTTATGGGGATAATTCATTCATAGTTTTCGGCTTCTTCAGGTCTAGCCTTGGGTCATTGAGCTTAACTCTTTTCTCCTCCTCCTCTCCCTTTTTTCTTCACTTGTTTTGTGAAATGCACTCTTGCCCTGTAGGCCAAGCTGGCCTAGAAAGGGGGACAGCGAGGGAGGGGGGTCAGTGCCTCCGGGCCACTACTTACTGGGTTAGTTCATAGGGAGCACCAGATGTCTGATAACCCTGAGTTCACGAGGGCCCTCAGCTGATGTAATCTTGCCTTTGAGCATCACAGCATTGTGGGACCATTGAGGCCTCGGAATGGCTCCCAACAAGCCTTGTTTTGTTTTGTTTTGTTTTGTTTTGTTTTGTTTTGTTTTTGAGACAGGGTCTTGCTATGTAGTCCAAGCAGGCCTTGAACTCTGGCAATCCTCCTGCCTCAGCCTCCTGAGTGCTGGGATGACAGTGCTGCACCACCACGCCCGGCTCCAGGCCAACCTTAACTCACTGTGTAGTCCAGGCTTTTTTCTTGTCTTTCCTAAATAGGACATGACAACAGGGCTATGCAACCAGTTCGCTGTGGATACCAAGGGGCAACTATTTGTAAACTAAACAATGTGTTTGTTTCTTTGTTTGAAACAGGGTCTCACTTTGTAGCCCAGGCTGGCCTCAAAACTTACTATCCTCCTGCCTCAGCTTCCTGCGTGCTAGGATTACAGGCCTGCGCCACCATCCCATCCTCCTTGCCACTTTCTGCAGCAGCTCTGGAGTGCTCTTTCCTGAGTGTCTGTAGTTGTGCTGGCCTGGCTGCCTCAAGGTCCTGAATCGACACAACACGTTTTCCTTTGGTGGTCACTGTGACTTTGGGGAAGAGCCGGACGTCACACAGGGCCAGATCCAGTGACTAAGGTAGAAGAGGACGCCAGCGTGTTCCTACAGCCTGCCTCTCCATGTGTGGCACTCGGCAGCAGCAGTCACTTATATATATATATGTTTTTTGGTACCAGGGATCGAACTCGGGACCTTGCACTTGTGAGGCAGGTGCAGTGCCACTGAGCTACATCCCTGGCCCAGTCACTGTATTTTTGATCAGACCTCGCAAAGACACCCAGGGAAGAGGACTCCAGAGCTTCTGCAGGTGGCGAGGACGGTGGGATGAGTGTGCTGGAATTAGGGGGAGGACTGTGAGGGGTTTGTGGCAATGGATCTGTCACTCTAAGAAATATTTTTTTAAGAAATATTTTCAGGGCCAGGAATTTAGCTCAGTGGTTTTGCCGCCTGCTGTGCAAGCACAAGGACCCGAGTTCGATCCCTGGTACCAAAACAAAAAAATATTTTTAATTCATTCACCATTTATTTTGGGTTGTCTTGTTTGTGGTACTGAGGGTTGAACACAGGGCCTTCATGCTGACCTTCATCCCTTAGTGAGACCAAGTCACTCAGTTGCCCAGGCTGCCTAAAACTTACATCCATCCCCCTGCCTCAGCCTCTCAGAGCACAGGACTTCCAGGGAGCACTCCTTGTGTGGGCCTTCATAATTCCCAGGAGCTGGCCTTGAATTCATGGCAATTCTCCTGCCTCAGCCTCCTAAGTGTGGGGATTACAGTTGTGTGCAACACCAGGCCTGACTGCCATTTTCTCTCTCTTTTTTGGGGGGGGGGTGAAGAGTAGGAAAATTTATTGGGGAATAGGAATGTGGAATAAGAACAGCTCCTGAGAGACAGGAAGGGTCCTAAATGCGTTGCCAAGGTGCCCAGTTCTCAAAGGAAGTTTTATAGAACAGTCACGAGGGGTGGGCACAACGTGGGTAAAAACTAGAATCAACCAATAAGATTACAGGTGTAGCTGCCCGGCTAATAGCGATCCAATAGTAACAAGGGAAGTATGCGCATCTGGTCGTTGTGACACTCCCAGGAGTCCTCCCTCGAGGGCCCAGCCCTGTCTGCCTGCCTGCAATATTTCTACCGGGCCTAGCTGTCTATAACAGTCCTCCCCGAAGAGGTATCCCCTGCCTATTCTCTTTTTAAGTGAAGTATCACTTTATTTTAGTTTTTAAATTTTTATTAGTCCACGTTTGCAGCACATAACGCTCACATTCCTCTTCCCCTCCCTCCCCCCTCCAGCTCTGGGTCCCCTTCCATTTGCATAAGATCTACTGCTCTGCTTCCTATTAGCTATCTTTTATTTTGCTATTTAATTTATGTATACTTTGGGTCTCTCATATATATAAGAGAAACCATATGATATTTAAGCTTGTGAGTGAGATTCATTTCACTTAGCATTGTGGTCTCAAGGTGCATCCATTTTCCTACAAATGACTCAAGTTCATCCTTTATAGCAGAGTAGTGCTCCACTGTGTATAAATACCATCTTTTCTTGTAATCTGTTTTTATATTTTAAAATCCACTTAGTGTAGACAGCATATGGTTCAGTCTTTTTCTTTCCTTTCTTTCCCTCATGCCTTTTGGTACTGGGATTGAAGCCAGGGCCTTCAAACTGAATTACATCCCCGCCCTTTTTGTATTTTTTATAATATTAAGACAGGGTCTCGCTAAGTCACTAAATTGCGCAGGCTGGGCTTCAACTTGTGACCCTCCTGCTTCAGCCTCCCAAGTGCTAGGATTTCAGCCTTGTGGCACCACACCAGACCATTTTTACTTGGCAATCTCTGCTTTTTCTTTTTTTTTTTTTTTTTGTACCGGGGATCAAACTCGGGTCCTTGCTTTTGCGCAGCAGGCGGTGAAACCGCTGAGCTAAATCCCCGGCCCCAGTCTCTGCTTTTGCATTGGCCTCTTTAACCTGTTTACGTTGCATGGTGGGCTTGAGTCTACCATCTTGTTATCATTTTCTGTCCTTCCCATCCTCTCCCTGTTCCTTTTGGTTTCGTGGCTCTTGCTTCCTTTGGCTTGATCAAGGGTTTCTGGCACCCTAGATTGGTTTCTTTCCCCGTTAAGTTTATCGGTCCATTTTCGGTATACAGTATAGTGACATTCATCATTGGGATCTTGTACCCTTACATGAGTATCTTGATTCTTATTTTTTCCCCATTCCCTGCCCTCCCTTCACCCCCTCCTCCCTTCCCTATTTACAAAGACTTTGTTTCTATTTTTTCCTTTTCTCATATCTTTTCTTTTCCCTTCTTTCCTTTCCCCTCCCCCTCCCACTTCCCCTCCCCCTTTAGACCTTTTCTTCCTATTTCACAATATCAAGTCTACATTTTGATCCTTATTTACACTTTCAGTTTCTCACACCAGAGAAACTATTCTGTATTTTCACATGTGTGTCCTATTTATTTCACTTAAGAGGATGGCCGCAATGTGCCTCCATTTAGCTACAAATGTCTCTAGTTTCTCATTTCTTTAGGGCTGAGTAGTACTCCATTTTATTAAAAAAAAAAAAACACATCTTCTTTATCCAGTCTCCAGTTGATGGGCGCTTGGGCTGTTTCCAAGCTTTAGCTATTACAAACTGTGCCGCTATGAACATGGGTGCACATATATCACTGTGGTATGATTCTTTTAATTCTTTGGGGAAGATACCCAGCAGGGGAATAGCTGGGTCAAACGGGACCTCTAGTCCTAGTTCTTTGAGGTATCTCCATACTGATTTCCACAGTGGTTGCACCAGTCTGCACTCCCACCAGCAGTGGAGCAGGGTTCCTTTCTCTCCACACCCCCACCAGCATTTGTTACTGGTTGATTTCTTGATAGCAGACTGGCACCCTAGTTTTGAATCTGCTGCTCGCTCCTTAGTTCTTCGGTTTTGCCCCCATGGACAGAATGGCAAGCTCCTCCTCTTTGCTGAGCTCTGCTCCGAGATTGCATGTCCCAGAAGCTGCACACCCAAGGGGGAG